ATAAAAATGAGACTTTTTTTTATATATTGAATTATGGTAATTTATTAGTACGAGAGATTAATTCAATGAAATAGAGTACAAATCATATTGAATTTACCTCTTCTTTTATTTATTTAATTAATTAATAAATATGAAATAGAAACTAGTACATGTGACTTTTGCCAAGATAATATAGTGGTAGACAACTTTTTATAACTAAATGTTAATTGTGTTTCAAGTGGTTCTTCCATTTATATTTGTTGCATAAAAAGAATTTAAAAAAATATATTTTTTGTACTATAATATTTTATTTAATATTTCATCTCATAGTTTCAATAAACAAAAAAATTAAATTTTTATTTAAATAGTTATAAATTAAAATGCTAATAAAAATATGTATTATCGTTTTGACGGCAAAATTATTAAATTGCCTTATAATAAAAAAACAATATAACATATTGGTACCTGAAGATATTGTTAATATATTTCTTAGCCTAATGATTGCAATTTGCAACAATACAAAGTTAGGGTTTAATTTAGAGTGAGTGAGAGCTCAATTTATTTATTTATTTATTTATTTATTTATTTTATTATTTATTGGTAAAAAGAATTAGTGAAACAATGAGTTGTGGCCCGTGGACTTATTCTCTAAATGCCAAAAAATGAAAAGGCTTTTATTTTTATTTTTTTTATACTTTTAATAATTAAAATAAATATATAATAGAAAGTGGAAGAGCCATCGCATTGATTTTGTCTTTTAACTATTTTTTAAAGTTAATTAGGTGTAGTGATTTAATCATATTGTCCTTGTTAATTAAAATCATATATGATTAAAGGGAATTGCATGAAATTGTGTTATAATGCAAGTTATGATTGGGATATAATTAAGTAGTACCTTTGATTGTGACATTAACTAGGTTAAGTTACATGGAGGGACCGGTTAAAAATATATTTTCTCTGCACCAAAATATTTGTCGCCTCATAATTTTTTAATTACTTGTTAATTTTATACTCTCATATTTGTTCATTTGAATAGTTTTTTTGTTGTCCAAAATTATTTGTCACATTTTAATTCCAATGAAACATTAATTGCACTATTTTTAATTTTACCCTTGATTATTCTGATTTAATTAATTGAAAAACTATTGATCACAAGGATACTTTAGTAATTTTCTGTATTTTTTTTTCCCTATATCCTATGAACATTTATTGGTTTTTTTAATATGTGCGCAACAACCAGAAACGACATATAAAATGGGACGGAGAGAGTAGCTACAACGATGCATTAATTGTGCTTTTTTCTTCTTAACTTTGCCATTTGTAACCCTTGATTGTTTGAAACACAATTAAATTTGCAAGGGCATTTTAGTCATTTTACTCATAATACATGTCGTTTTGTCAATTTTCTTAGTACGTGCGCAAGAGTCTATTACGAATTAGTTCTAATTACATTGAAACTAGCTAGGCTTATTCCATCAAAAATTTGTTTAATTTATTTTCTGATTTAATTAATTTCAAAATTGAAATTCATAGATATAGTAACACGTAGTCATTTATAAGTTATAAATTACAAGGCAACTATAAAGACAATACGAACTTATGCAAAATTGAAAATTCACTTTGAATCTTGAAAACTTATATCCAACTTTTGACTGCACTCTTCCAATTCAAGAAAAGGAGAATTAAATAATAAATATGGAAATTTAAATAAATAAAAATGAATAAAGAGAAAAGTTGTAATATGAAGAAGTTAGAAGGAAGAATCTATTCCGAGCTTATTTTAATTTTATTAATCCGCCGCACAAATGAAACTTAAAGTGTGAAAGCATATTATTTAGCTTTATTAGCAAAAATATTATAATTACCCTTATAAGATATGTTCACTAATCTCTTTATCCGTACAACAATATTGCACGTGATGACTCACCAAAATTGCACATTATATCAATTTATTTAATTTTATTAATGATTCTCCAAACTCAAATGGGATTTCTATTTCTATATAGATATATATAAAATACAAGGGTGCAAATTTAGACCTGTTTTAATAGAAAAATTCGATGTCATAGGATGATTGACACGTGAATAGTTTAAATAAAAATATAATTAAGATTCTAATAATTGGAGAAAAAAAAAAGAAAAAAGAAAAAAGAAAACCCCAGCATAATCCATAATCCCTCTAACGCTAATTATAATCAGCGTGATTTATTAAGAGATAAGACTAAAGAATGCCACATGTCAAAAAATTAGTGGAATCCGATTTATATTAAATATCAGCTGATCCGCTCAGAATTTAAATGGTGTTTGGCTAAGCTTATTTTAAACAACTGATAAGCTCTTACATCTGATAAGATG